ACTTATGCTAACTTACATATATATGTAGGCCTAAATCTTGTAGTATCAGTAAAACAGTAATATAGGCCAGTAAAAATCAATATAAACGTAATAATTGTACAATATAAAGAAGGAGAAAAAACAAAACAAATACAACTTGCTACCAAAATAAAATGCTGAAGCTTTTTCTATATCTTAGTGCACTTATACTTATCTATAGGGAACAGAGAGGGAAAGAAAAAGTCAGAAATGGTTGGGGGAGGGGAGGGAATGCATTTTAAAAGAAAAAAAGAAAGACTGGGGGTTTTGCTACAATTGGATAACTGGTTGTATTGACTATACATTGTGAACACATGGACAGGGATGGATTCAGGGTGGTTCAGTGGCTCAGTCACCCCCCCCCCCCACTTCTTTCTGACTGTACAGTGGGAGCAGAAGCTGGGGATTTCAAGTCACTAAAGAAGGTAAAAATTCTCCCTTCTCCTTTCCTCTTCATTCTCAGAGGCATGTCCCCTCTGTTCTCTTCCCCTCCTCTTTCCTTCTATTCTTCCCTCCCCTGCCTGCTGCTGCCACAGTCCTTGCTGTCCTGGGGGCGGGATGAGAGGACCTCCAGGGCTGCTGCAGCCTATCACTGTAGGGGCTGGGCTCTGCCTGGGACAGCAGCAGCAGTGTTGGAGGCAGGTAAGTTCTGTCTCCTGCCTCGTCCCCTTGGGTATTCCATATCTGACCAGAAGCAGGCCTGGCCAGGGGGGAACATGGCTACCCTCCTTTTGCTGCTGCTATTATCATGGGTCAAGCCTGGCTTTGTGCAGCCTTGCTGAAGGAGTCCTGGAGGTGTCTTCACCCCCAGGACAATGTCAGTGGCAGGTTGGAGAAAGGGGACATAGGATTGGGAGGGAAAGGATGTGCCTTTGAGTGGAGAGGTGAAAGGGGGTGGGGTGGGGAATTCTTACCTGCTTTGAGGACTTAAACTCCCTAGCTGGTGCTCCTGTGGCATGGTCTGCCTGTCCCAGAGGGGAGAGGGGGCAGCCACCCCAGTGGTGTCAGTCCACTGCTACCACACCTACCTTTGCAAAATGCTGGATCCATTTCTGAACAGCATGGGTGATCATAGGATCAAAATTGCTCCCTGTTAGAGTACCCCTGGGAAATGCAGATCTAAAACTGTAGGTGGCATAGAGGTGGAGGAGTTATATTGTCTGTGCAGGCATTGTGCATGGTGCTTTACAGAGCACCAAGGGAGCATGGATATCACACCTTTAAAGAGCAGGATGTGTGTATCCTTGCTCACAGGGACAGTAGTGCTGGCAAGAGTTAGGGGGATGACTCTTAGACTCATTCCCTTTCCACCTGTTCTGGTGAGGATTCTTCCACTGTGGATGCTAGACAAGCACTGTGCACTGTGAGTGCAGAGGGCAGTGGTACATGAGCTCTTGGATAAAAGGACTGGTCTCACCTCTGTATCCAAAAACATAACTGGGAGCCTATCGATAGGTATTACATGTAGACTGAACCATATTCTTTGCGGTCTAATTGTCCAGAAGTTAGTTCTTCCATTCAAACCAAACCAAATAATTTGGTGTCCCAAATATTTTCTGTACCTCAGAAAAAGAGAAATAAAGGATGCATGTTTTACAGAATTTTTACATTACTTGGAAAAAGTGCTCCCCTTTCTTCAAGAAGATGGACTAGTGTATCTGGACACTGAAACACTCTTTTGGGAGTTAAAGCAGGTAAGTCATATTAAAAAAACAATAAATAATGTCTCTCATAACAGTTGTGTGTGTCAAATAAACTGGGTCACCATACTGCTTTTTATGGTTGGTTTGTGTTTATTCACTCTAGAGTTTATATCCATTAATGTGGAAATGGTCTCTCAGAGTGAATTTAAGTCCATTTTTTCACACATTACATTTTGACAGTATATTAATTACATTTTAGACGTTGATGAGTAATGCTTCCTATATATGCGAGGATTTGCTTACAGTATTTGAGAAGGCCCTTCAGCTTCCTCCAAACTCTGAAGTCATAGATGTTCTAGCAAGATTTGTGTGCCATTACAACAATTCAAATGAGGCTTTTAAGTTAAGCAGTCAAATCCAGTCAATAAAGGAATCTGTAAGTATTTTTGTATGCGTCTTTTTTTTTTATATACATTCAACACCCAAAGTACCTTAACTGAATGGTTATCACAGAATTAAATAAACTGTGACAGTGACTCTGAATAGTACGGCACTGCAGTAAATCAAACCAGTTAAAATAAACTTATGGCAATATGTATACGGACCAGATGTGTATTTTGTGTATAGGTGCCAGTTTGCCTATGCTACTTCCAGAAAAACAAAAGGACTTGAGGTTCTCTTTCTCATCTTGACTAAACCTACATAAATCAGGAATAATTCCAGTGGAGTCAATAGAGTTATATTAGTCTAAGAGAGAGGACCCAAGTATCAAAGACTCTTTCCTTTTGCTGTTTATAAATTGTTGCCTTTTTTTCCCCAAAGGTCTTACTTCTGCAGAAAGTAATTCATGGACAACAGAGCCTGCCAGATTCAATAATGGAAGAGTTTTTGGGATGGCAAGAAATAGAACAGCAGCTCGCTGAAAATAGTGCTTCTTACTGTAAAATTAATCAGCTGCTGAGCACAAAGGCACCATCTGGAGAGGATGTCTATTTCAGCTCTTGTCAGGAGCAGCTGCTCCTCTCATTGTAAGCATCACAAATGGCTTTTAGATGTAAGGGGCCTGATTTTGCTTCCTCCCTGACCCCATTCTAAATTGAGGAGTAATTTCAGTGAAGTCAAAGGAGTTAAGCCAAAGTGAAACCTGTGTAAATAAGATAAGCACACAAAGCCTGGTAGCAATAAAATTTTCTTAAATATAATGAAATGTTGTTGTATTTCCCCTCAAAAGTAAATCATAGGCACAATGCGGTTAATGTAAAGTTAGATTTACAGTCGGCAGATGCTTTCAGGCACCTTCTCAGAGTTCAGGCCTACAATGATGCAGTTACAACAACAGCATCTCACATGTGATTACACTTGTGGGATTACATTTATGAACATGAGTAACCTTGTGCACAAGTTTTGTGGCATGAAGTCACTGTATATAGTAAGCTTGGTTTGTTTTCAGACCTGCCAGTAGGCTTGAATCATCTGCCATCCAAGTTGCAGCTAAAAATGGCATCAGTTTATGCAAGAGTAGAACCAAGAGTGTGACTCGTATAACCATATTAAAGGTTAGATGATTTAGTTTCTATTTTTTTTATCATCCGGGGTTTTGGGTCCTTTTTTTTCCCTGTCGGTCAAAAGTGGATTTTTCTCCCTGACCTATTTCTAAGTGATTTTGAACATGACAGGACTGCTTTGTTTGCTTCTGTTTTTTGAGCAGTAGCTGGAGGGATGATAAAAGACCCCTGGGAACAGCACTTGACTAGCATGGTAGAGCCAGTGAAGGCAGCATATAAACTCAAAGTACAGTTTTTTGTGCAGGGCATCTAGGAAAGTTTGCTATTGTTTTGAGTAAGCAGTGAATTATTAATACAAAATAGGCATTTGGAAGATTTGCAGAATGTTACTTTTAGACTTTAAGCTTCTTGTCAATTCTATTTTTTTAATGAATTCATGGAGCTTTTGCTCTACTTGACCACATATGTAGCACTGGTAGCCAAAACTGCATGCAGTGCAACTCTGCTTATGTTGCCACTGGGGAGCGTTTTGCCACTGATATTAAGGGAAGAAGTACCTAGTCAAGAGCCCTGCTTACTTTGAAATCAATAGGACTCCCCACACAAGTAAAGGAACTGGAAGATTTAGCTGCAAATAGACAAGGCAGCAGCTGCATGTGGACCCCATGTTTTTATTTAGAAAATTACTGGTCTGATTTTTTTGGGTCCTTGATCCTTTCAGAGTTATTCGTACGCTTGAAGAAATATGGTTTGGTTTTGAGGCGAACCCACACTGGAAGGATGTAACAACAGTTGTCAGGACAATGTGTGGCATAGCTCAATTTGTGAATGAGGCAAAAGGCTTCAGAAGAGGCCAGTCAGGTGAGAAACAAAGTCTCTGCATCTCCTGGTTCTCTGTGTATTTCTCAGGACAAAAGTTCTCAGAGCAATACAGGCTGCTTTAAACATTATGGGCACCTTTGTTTCACTGATTTCAACAAGCCCTCACAGCTTGACCTTGCTGTTAAAGCTTCCTTGATGAGACATTTGTCTCAGACAATTTGTTGGAACTAAACTGAAAGGATCAGTCGGAATGAAAAATGTGTTGGGAGATTCTCTAGCTTGTCCTTCTTGGTATCTAAATCCTTTACTAACATATACTTCATGAATTTCTCTGGGAAAAATTGTAGAATGTTGTAATTTCTCTTTTGATTCAACTCCAGCTGGATCTAAATCCAGTGAGAATCTAGTCAAATGACCTCTGGGAGAGTTACAGATTCTTTGCTGAGCGTACTGACATAACACATTTTTTTTCTGCAGATTATGCTGGATCATCCCTGTGTACTGGAAAAAATCTCAATTTTAAGGCCTTAATTGAATATTATTTAGCACTTCTGCAAAACTTATCAAATTCCCCATTTGCTTCATGGGCAAGGTAATTCAGTTTAAATTCTTCACTCAGCTGTTTTTTGCAAACTCTTTTAAACCGTGTTTCATAGATTTCATAGACATTAGGGCTGGAAGGGACCTCGGAAGATCATCAAGTCCAGCCCGCTGCCTGAAGGGCAGGAAGTCAGCTGGGGTCATAGGATCCCAGCAAGATAAGCATCCAATTTATAGTTTCTTGTTTGTTTTTCCATTTTAGACTTCTGTAGCCTTGAATAAGATAATTTCGCTCATTTTTAGCCAAAATTCCTTTTATGTGATCAAACTTTCAAGATTACAGAGAGTTATATCTTTGTTGCTCACATTCAAACGCTTTCTGCTCAAAGGTGCATCTCTGTAAATAGCCTGCAGAGCACATGCCAGCCAGCCAGGTTTTTGGACATGGACAGGTCCAGAAGTGAGATCCAGGGGAGTAGGAGGGGGTCAAGGTAAGGGAGGGGGTCAAGGCCCTCATGAGCTGGGCTTCTTTCCTGGGACAGGGGCAGGAGTTCCTCCAAAAGCTTCTTCCCTCACAACTCCCATCTCCCAGCCATCCTGGGAAGCATGAGCAGCATCCCCCACATCCCAATTCCAAATCCCAATTTATTAAAACATGAGGCCTTCTTTAATATACTTCCTCTTATTGCTTTTTAAATTTTTTTACTTTATTTTATTCTTCAGTATATGACTTCTTTTATTTCACCACGCTTCCCATACTGCCATTTACTTTCTACCTCACATTTCGTTACCCACCCCCATTCCACTAACTCTCCACCTCCCAGCTTTCATGTTCCATGCTTGCCCTCTTTCCAGCCCATCTCTCACACCTTCCTCCCAGACAGGGACAGATTATGACATGCTGGGTCCCTGAACTATGGGTTCCCAACCTTCCTAGGCTGTGGCCCAGCAAGCTGTGGATTGGAAGCGGCTGCAGCCCAGCAAACTCAGACTGCCATGCAGAGCCCTGGGGCCAGAATTTCTGGCTGGAACACAAGTACAGATACTTTCAGCCCCTGGGCGGACCCAAACCTCAACCACGGCTGCTGCGGGTCTTGTGAAAGGAATCGCAGCCTCTCTGACCAGCTCTGTGGGGCTGCAGTTTGTAGCTGGCAGCTGACCCTTCATGGCCTGGGGCTGGTTTGGAGGTCCCTTATAATGTGAGGCCCTAAACTGAAGCTTATACCTAAATCTGGCACTGCCTCTAGAACAGGGATAGAAGCTTGTCCTGGCTCCTCAGCCCTGTAGTGGCAACTTACAACTGTAGCTCCAAGTCAGGCCCCTGCTCACCAGCCCCCTAGTGGCAAGTCACAGTTGAGCAAGTAGGGGAAAAACAGAAGATTTTTAGCCTTTAGGTGCGACTGCTCCAAACTCAAGCTAGCACTAACATTGATCAACATGTGAGCTGCTCAAAGTGCAGTGTGTAACAAGGCCCTAAGCTGTGAAAAGAAAATTTAAATGGACACACCTAGTGTTGTTGGCAAATCTAGTCACAGTAATTAGCTGTTGTAGAAAAGTGTTTTTTAAATTGCATTCCTAAAGATTTCACAGTATGCTGCTTCCTTATTTTCAGTGTCTGCTAAAGTAATCAGTCATGTCACCTGTGAAATGGAAAGAAATGTTGTAAATCTGTAAAAGATGGGCCCTTCATAATCTAGTTCTGGAATTTGCAGCTCTTCACAGAATTGTGGGAATGTAGGGCTAGAAGGTCATCTAGTCCAGCCCTCTGCTCAAAGCAGGATCTAAGCTAACTAAACTATCCCAGCTAAGTGTCTGTGCAACTTGCTTTTCAAATTTCCAGAGATGGAGGTTCCACAGCTTCTTTAGGTAGCCTGTTCCAGTGCTTAACCACCCTTGTAGTCAGAAAGTTCTTTCTAATCTCCAATTTTAAACTTCTTCTGTTCTGCAGTTGAACCAAGTTGCTGGTGTTGTGGGTTGTGTGCTACCCTTCACATTTAAGCAGAAGTCTCCAATGACTGAATTGTTGAGTTCTTAAAGGCAACAGTATGATACTGCCATCTGTTGTGCTTTTCATAGGAGACCTGAATTATTTTCCTATTGAAGTCAGTAAGAGTTTTTCTGCTTCATTTGGAGCGTGAGCTACTCATCTGCTAGTTACATAGGAACAAATGAACTCATCCAGCTGGATGAAAATCTGGGTAAAGCAAATTCAGGATTGGATTTGTAACAGAGCTCCTAAAAATTCCCATGTTCTGAACTTTTGGTCATATTAAGGAATATAGACAAAAATATCTTGGATCAAAGTCCTTGTACTATTCAACCTTTGATGGTTTTGATGAAGTGGGCACCAGGAATGAATAATTCCTCATTTGGTTCTGAAAGCTGAAAATTTGTGTGAAATATAGAGTTTTATTAAATGGAAATGAGGACAAAAATGAAAATGTCAGTACACAAAAACAGTGGATCTAACAGACCTGTGTGTTCAATTACACATTTTCTGTTTTATCTCAGCTCTCTCCTCACATACCCTCTTCACCTTTTCTCTGTGTTGACTTTAGAATAAAAGATCTCCAGGAACAGGTATCCAGCCTATACTCTAATATACAAGAGCACTAAACATGTTGTTGCTGCTACACAATGGTATTAATAACAAAATAAATTGAGTCTTTTAACAAGAAAAACAAAAATAAACGTTACACACGCTTTGTGCAAAAACCTGTGGTGGAGACCACATAATGGAAACAGTCATTAACTTCTGAAATATTTTTTTCAATACTTAGCTTCTCAGTTTTCCTGCTTTAAAAGTCTTCAGTGCAAAAATTAAGAAAAATATGATTTCTGTTGGCTTTCTTCACTGAATTAGTTTAGTGAGTTAAAGCTATTTTTGGTTGAGACCTACTGATCCTACTCTTCCCTAATTTGTGTGTCCCAAGCCTTCCCATTCTTAGCCAAAGTTTTGTATAAAACTGGTTGAAATCGTTAGGTAAAATATTTGCAACAAAGATGGCAGTGATGAAAGGATGTTTTTCATGACAACATTTCTGTTTTCACTGGCATTTTCTTTGGTTTTGTTTGAGAAGCCAACAACTTTTTGGGGGTGAGTTATTAGAAACTTGCATTTGCTTTTCAATTCTTTACAGAAACATAGAAGTTTTTCATTTTCTTCAATGTTTGAAGGGAATAAAATATCTTTGAACTGTTCTACTTCCTAATTCCTTTAAAGCTACTTACTCTGTGGATCTTAAAAATTCTGCTGGTTTCAGCAGAACATGAAAGGTCATTAAGGCAGAGACTTGGCTTGCATAGGTTTCATGGCTCTATCCTCTTGCTCAATAGATGTCTGTGTCCCTAATCATTTACCTAAGGTCAACTCTACTTCATTGACTTGTGTGGTTGAAACATTCTTAGTCATTGCCTTTGTGTGTGTGTTAAAAATGATGCAACTCCCTGCTAATGTATTTTTATTTTGGTGTTTAAAAAATAACACTATAAACATTATTTTAGTGGTTTTTAAATGACCTCTTGATTTTAAGATATCAATGCAATGCATTCTAGAAGAAATACAATGATTACATATGCTTCATGTTAAGGTATATATTAACTGCAGGTAACTCACATGAAAATCTTGATTTAATATTTCAGGATTTTGACATCTGTCAAAGAGCTTCTGACAAGTGAAGAAAACTTACAAATTCCTGAAGAGAAAGAAGACATAGTCAACAGCTTGCGCCTTGCAGAATTCGTACAAGAAAATTTGATGCCTGGTTCTTTGGCTTCTTCAAGCCTTCAAGATGCCCAATCCCTCCTAGACACAGTGTTGAATAATGCTATTACATGGATTAACAGTTTTGCCAGTGTGGAGACAAATGAGTCTGCTGTGGATTTTTCTGACCTCAGTAAAAAGCTACTAGAGAATTTTCAACTTGTTTCAAGGCTCTGCCCAAATGAGCAGGCTGAAGTATTTTGGGAAACGGTGGAAATGGTCTTGTATGAGCTTGATCCTAAACTACCACACCTCTTGATGGGTACAAGTTCAACTGGAGAAGTAGAGAACCTGGAGAACTTCTTATCTAAAATTGTGTTCTCTGTTCCAGAAAATCAGAAAGTCCTTAATAAAAGCCTTCGGTTTTTCCAAAACATCCGCACACATTGGCCTCAATGGAATGTTGGTGACATAAAGGTTGTAAACAATTTCTGTGAAAAATTCATAATGAGTCTGTATGAGGTTGGGTTATTGACCCAAGAACATGTCAGTACAGCTCTCAGTACCATGTACAAAATGAGAAATCTGTCTTGTATTCTACTCTCAAATGCAACTGCTGTATCTAAAGTACAAGACACAGGGAAAATTGTGTCTGATTTCTACCAAAACATCCGCAGGATAGTGGATAGTAAAGCTGCCTTGCTTGTTGAGATGCTTTCCACTGTATATCAAAACACTGATCAATTCTTAAGAATCCAAAGCAATAGCTCTTTGTTATCTTTCTTCCACAAAACTTCAGAAGACATTTCATCTACTCGAATACAGCTTGCTTTCCAAAATATGAGCATGGTTTTTGACTTTCTATCTGAAATTATAACACTTCTTGATGGTCTTACTCAGAAGCCTCTCTGTGAAAAGTTAGAAAGAGTTTACAACTACTTAATCCTCCAGGCCCAGTCCCTTGCACAGAAAGGGGAACAAGAGGTACAAGTTGTATATAAAACTCTGGGGAGCCTTAAAGCTATGTTTATAGAAAAAGAGCTACGTACAGTTGCCTTCCAATACTTAGAACAACTTTTTGACATTCCACCAGAAAGCCTGTTAAATAATGAATGTACTGATTTTTATGTTCTTGGCATTCCTTCTGAGGAACCTTCAGTAAAGCATTACAGCTCACTTCTTCTTCCATTGGTCAGTGTTCTGTCCAATTCAACAGACTTTGGGGTATCTGTGCCTTTTGCCATGCATTGCACCATTACCTGGCTTCAGATGTGGACAGAGATTCTTCAAGAAGCTTCTGAAATGTTAACACTGGATTTAAATTTTATCACATACCTACAAAACAGCCTGACCCAGATTTCTGAAGGGCTTGAAAATATAACCCATGTTGAACCATGCAATGTGACATTTGTAGTTAGTCCTGAAACTACATCTGCGTTGAATCTACTAGGCATCATAACAGGAGCTGGGAAATTGAACAACTGGGAGGATTTTGGTGCCCTTGATGATCTTATAAGTGCACTTAAGATTGCAATTGATATCACCAGCAACCTTACAAGGGAAAGTCTGGAGGAAGCTTTCCAAACAATGGAAACCGTGATCACAGAATTACAGAAATCTCTGCTGAAGACTTTTAGCAGGGAGTTTTTGGATTTCTGGGCTGGCATTTTTGCTCCATTGAGTTCTAAAGTGGAATATAAGAAGACAAACCTTTATTCAATTGGGCATTCACTTTCAAGTATCCTGAAGCTTTCTACAGAAGAGCTGGTCATTGTTCTCACAGAGCTAAAAGAGACTGCTGGATTCCTTAAAAACATATCTCAGGATCGTTACCTACTGGCTTGTGCCAACATTCTCCAGAATGTGACAGAGCTAGATTTGACAGCCAAAAATATTTCACAAATACCTTTCTGGTTTCATCCTGATTACCTTCTAACCATTGGTAATATCCTGAATGGAGTAAAGGGTTGTAATGAGTGGATAGATATTATCAGTAACCTCAGTGAGAAATTAATCTCCCTTTCCAACCTTGAAAACACAAACCATGTTTTATTTCTGTTGTTGTCTCTGGGAAGCCTTGATGATATGGATTATAGTCTAGAGAATATCCTGGATATTATTAACATGGCTTATTTTGATTTGGAAGATTCTCTGTGTTTACAGAATGGTTCTGATGCACACTGTATGAATACTTATTTCAACATTATAGAAAAAATTTTAAAATTCACCCAACCAACATCTGATGTTAAAGGTGATGCCCGTACACTTGACTTTATCTTTAAGCTATTAAATAGCTCAGGGGGCCAAATAGAAACAATAGTTAAGCACTTAATGAAGTACTCACAAAACACATCTGACTTGAAACAGACATATTTCACTAAACTAATCACTGGAGCCACTGAGAATTCAAGTGAAGTCCCTAATTTCTTTCATAGTCACCAGCCTTCTTCAGTAGCCCACTGGAAAAGAATTTGGATTTTTCTGAAAAACCAAACTGTTGCAAGCCTACAAGACAGCACATCTCTTCTGGACATTGTACAGCTCCTAAATTCATTAGAGGCGATCCCCCAAGACAAAAATATAAGCTTGCTAATGGAATCCTTTGAACAACTAATAACTTACATTGCATCAAACTTGTCACATAATATGCAAAGTATGCAAAACATACCTCTGCAGATGTTGATGAATGCAGCAGCTGTTGATGTTGAACTGGTTGGGAAGGCATTAAAATTTTTAAAGTCTTTTAGCATTTTCAATTTTTCAATAATATTAGGTGATAACAAATTTCTAAAGCATATGGCAAATTTGATGCAAAACCTTGAGAATACAGATCTAGAATTCTTAATAAATCAGCTAGAACAGGTCTGTAAGAGCCTGAACAAATTCTTTACAAATATTAAAGCTTTGAAGGTTGACAATCCTGTTTGGGGAACATTGACAGGCTGGTTACATATGCTTGAGAACAATTCACACTTTTGGAACTTGACAGATATATTGCCCGTCTTAGAATTGTTTCAAGCTGAGCGTGATGATTTTGTAGAGGCACTTTACCTTCTTCCTGATGTCTTCAGTCTTCTAGAGCAGTTACCTCACAACAGCAACATCACTGATGCCATAACTGAAGTATTTACTTTCATATTGAGTCAGGAAACAAATATGTCAATATATGCCAAGGAAGATTTATCTAGTAAAGCAAACGGCCTCCTAAAGTTACTGGAGCTAGTAACAAATATGCCTGATGAATCTGCAAAGACCTTGAGTTGTCTTAGCACAGTTGCCTGCTGGAATCTCACAACAGCCAACCTGTTGCATGATCCTGCTTTGAAGCCTTGTAACTTAGATTCTTCCTTTGTTTACAACATGGTTGCTGATGCATTTGAGCTACTGCAGTTGACAGCTCCTGCAGGAAATTCTCTATGCTCTAATGAAGAGCTACTGAGGGAGGCCTCTTACAACGTGACTTGCTTTTTCTATCAGCTCAAAGAGTGGAACTCCTTTTTTTTGAGGTTTTCTGAGATCCACCATCTGGATGATGACGTTCTGATGGATTTAGAGGAGTTTTGGGATAATCTGTCAGTCTCTTTTATGTCTTCAGGAAACAGTAGTCTTCATTCAATTCATTGCCCATCCACACCAAAAAGGCAAGCTGCTTTGCGACTCATCGAAGTAGTGAACAATATGACAACAGCAGACATCGGGAGGGCCAGAGCTGTCTCTGCCCAGTTAGCAGATCTGCATAGCTTTCTACGCTTGAATAGAAGTGCAGGAACTTCAGTTATAAACACTATTCTTACTAATTTAAAAATCATGGTCAATGATATTACTGGAATGCTAGATTCTGAGGATGTCCTCTCCTTTCTTTCTGCAGCCCAGCCTTTAATGGCACTCTCTCCAGTTGGAAAACAAACTTATGTGGTATTCATGGCATTAGCAACTTTAAGTAGGAACAGTAGTAGTCTGTTTGATAACTTTGAGGCCCTCTGGCTTGATACAGAGAAAAGCATATGGGATTTACTGGTGAATTTTGATGTCAGCCACCTGCTCTCTGTGATAGAAAAAGAAATTCAACTACTAAGTACAGCAGCAGGACAAAACTCTTCACTGGCACTTGGTAGTTTCATTAAATGGTTTAATTTTTCATCTCTGGAAACCACAATAACAATTGTTGAGGGACTTCGAGAGATTGAGAGGGACTGGCTGAATGAGTACACTCATAAAAATTATTCTAGAATAATAAATGCACTAGTTCTCCTCATGGCTAATGAAAACTCATCAGATGACCTCATTGCAATTATCAAAGACACCATTGACTTTCTGGAGGTCTTCCAGAATGGTTCTAGAGATTATTTCAATATTTCATTTGTTACTGATCTTAATGAAGAAAAGCTCAATAATGTTCATGTTGCTCATTTGATTTTGCAGAACAATATGCTTAATATGATCTCTGACTTTGTTACTGAAGAAGAGATAATGCACTTAAATTCTACAGACCTTCAAATAGAGGATTTCATTGATTTCTTTTTTAACAATACGAAATATGAAAACTATAGAAAAAATACTGCTCCATTCCAAAGTAGGGTAATGGAAATGGTAAAAGTGATACAGCAGATATTTTTTCCATCTTCTGCAGAATATTACAGGAACAAAATAATTGTCTTACTAAAAGAATTGCACAGGGATATAATGGCAGAAATGAGGTAAGTGTCTATTAATTGGTTTATTAATCTTGTATGCAAAGATAAGAACAGTAAATTCTGCTATGGACAATATAGCTAAAAGGTTTTAATATTTGAATTTCTTGATTTCTCAGTCAAAAAACTGGAAAATATACCATTTTAAATGTTTGGATCTTTAAAATTATTGCAAATTATTTCTTCTGGTTAAAACTAATTTCTTCTTCTATGACAACTTATTCACCAAGTTTGATGTTTTTGATGCTAGCAATTTAACTTCTTAGTAGCAATTTAGTTTTGGAGGTATTGTATTTTTACACTACACACAAACTTCTTTTATTCTTTTATCCCTGGTTTCTGGTAGTGTAACCTCAATGATTTTACTTGTGGGATGGCAGTTTGGTTGTTGACTTAAATGAGATGAAGCTAGCATAAATCTTAGAGCTCGTCGGTTATGAAAGTGTACCCAGGCATGCAGTCATTGAATGATGTAGTATTTGAAAATCCTAGGTAATAGTACTTGCCTGTATTTTCTCCACTCATTTATAACACACTGGGCATAGGATTTTTCTTTGATATTGTTGAGGAGCCAGTTATGTATTATTGTGGCATTATCCCTGAATATAGCATGGCAGTGGCGTGGCCAGACACCTGAGGCACAGGTCAGTAGTGACTTTTCAGTTGCCACTGAGTTGCAAGATTGTGTAGCTGCTAATGGCAGCTTTTTCAACCACCCTCCCCCACCAACCCAGAACATTAACCCTTGGGACAGTTGCCTAGTCACCCCATCCTATTACACCACTGGCTGAATGGCTAACCAGCGTGTCCCTTTGAGTGATCAACATCTATTCATAGATTCATAGATTAAGGGTCGGAAGGGACCTAGTAGATCTTCTAGCCCGACCCCCCGCCAGGGCGGGAGAACAACAAAGAAACCCCAAAAAGAGAAACGGGACTCAAATGAGTCCAGCCAGGTAGGCATCCAGCCTCTTCTTAAAGACCCCCAGGGTAGGGGCCAGCACCACTTCCCTTGGAAGTTGGTTCCAGCTCCTAGCCGCCCTAACTGTGAAGTAGTTCTTGCGGATGTCCAATCTATACCTCCTCTCCATCAACTTGTGCCCATTACTCCTTGTTATGCCAGCGGGCGCTAGGGGAAACAGCGTCTCCCCCAAACCCTTCTGGTCCCCCCTAGTGAGTCTATAGACGGTCACCAGGTCCCCCCTCAGCCTTCTCTTGTGGAGGCTGAATAGGTTCAGGTCCCGCAGTCTCTCACTGTAGGGTCTGCCCTGTTGTCCCTGGATCATGCGGGTGGCCCTCCTCTGGACCCTCTCCATGTTGTCCACATCCCTCTTGAAATGGGGCGCACAGAACTGGACACAATACTCCAGCTGTGGCCTGACCAGCGTCGCGTAGAGGGGGAGGATCACCTCCTTGGCTCTACTCGAGATGCACCTGTGGATGCATGACAAGGTCCGGTTAGCCCTGCCAACCATGACCTCGCATTGTCGACCCATGTTCATCTTGGAGTCTGTAATGACTCCAAGATCTCTTTCTGCCTCCGTGCTCTCGAGTAGTCAGACCATATCATTTTATAGTGTATTTGTAGTGTTTCTTTAAGCAATATGTAGCAAAATACGTTTTAGACATTAATGACAATTTTCAGTCTACGTTCAGAATTATTCCTGCCACCCTAATAAACACTAAACAATATTTCTGTTGCAGTATATTTCCCCGAGATAAGATATTAACTCTTCTGAATTTGGATTGGTTGATCAAGCTACAGGAAGAAGTTGATGGATTGAAGGAAAATATAATTTATTCTAGTTTTAAAGAACATCTGTATGACCCACTCAAAGCCATATCAGAGGATGAGACACTTCACTTTGATAGTGCAAAAGGACTCAAGTTTGTGAAGGATTTGTTTAATGTCCTATTTGGAGAGTCTGCTGAAAAAAATGGCACCCAAGATAACTATGAACTGTTTGATTTTATGAATAATTTTAATGCAAATAATTCATGGAAACTTGTTCAGATGACTAGAGATCTTTCCACATCTCTCCGAATTATGAGGCAAACTTTTGCAGAAATGGGAAAGATAGTGGATATTTTCATGAGTAATCACTCCAAAGATTTCCCAGATTTCTATTCTCCTTTCTGGGAAATGGACTTTGTCAGTTTAGCAGAACTGTTAATCTCTTTAGACAAGGTGTTTCCTTTGAAAAATAAAGAGGTAGTAGAAGCTACAAAAATATTACTTTATCTTATTTCATGGAGCAGTAGCACTAACTACACTCATGAACCATTTTCAGAGACTGCTGATTATTTGAACGCTTTGCTGCTGAAAAGTGATGAGTTTGCAAAGCTATCAGAAGTAGTAGAATTTATTGCTAAATTTCTGGCATGGTCCAAGAAAGCTTCAGAAAAGATAGTTACCATTTTTGAACAACCTACTGGCTCGGATACTACAGAAAACATAGACTACCTCCATGTGTTCTATCCAGTTCTTCAAAGAGCTGTTTGTAATGCAGTGAATGAGTTAACTACAAGTGAGACTGCAGAAGATGTCTGTTCAAATGAAAAACATGTGGCAGATTTGGTGAAAGCATTTCTTGATTTGACCTACTTGTCTATTCAGGTTGATCATTCCAGTTCAAATGGCTCTGAGACTGTAAACACATCCACCAGATTGCCTGCAAATCTGAGCAAACTAAGTGAATTAAACAATATTGTAGGTGAAATTGCTGCATTTCTAGCAGATGTGCGGAATTATTCTTGGGTACTAGAAAGACTTGTAACAGTTGTTACCAGTGCAAATATAAACTCACCTAATAAGACTGTCAGCCTAATAGAGTATCTTCTTTGTATTTTTGTACAAATAAGTGACATTACTAGCAAAATAGCTTTAGCTAGTACACTAAATCTTACTAACAATCCAACACAAGAAGAAAAATGGGGCGAAATTCAGGAAATGATTGCTAATTTGCACACAAAAAAATGCACATCCATAAAGGCTTTCATCAGAGCTGTGGCTGATCTGCTCCTGGGGGGGTTCTGGGAAAATAAGTTAAATGAAAATGACTTAAATCTGCTGCTGACTTATGCAAACAACCACGATGACTTTCTGAGAGTTATGGAAATCATTATGGAATTGTTCAATTTAACAAATAATGTTTCTGAAAGAAACTTCAGCCTGAGGTCATTTTTCGCCAGCCTTATCAACCAAAATATAAGGTACCTTCAGAAAGAACAATCCAGCTGGAAAACTGTTATTGAGGGCTCATTAAATGAAATTCCCTGGGTGGAGTTGCTGCATTTAGATAATAACCAGCCAGTGAATTCAACAAGAACCTTGGTCAAAATGTTGTTGGGGCCCTTCATTATGGGAATCACTGGTGTAGCTGATACAGACCAGCTACAAAAGAATGCACAGGGGCTGATTCATGGTTTTAAATGGATGCTCAAACAATTATCATCTTATGAAAAATATGCCCAGCGACTGATTGGCTTGACTGAATATTGGCAACAAGGCCCACTAAATGATCAAAGGTAAATAATGAAGAAGTTAGCTTCCCCCCCTCCCGGGCGCCCCACCCCTCCCTGGCGATACCAACACCATCCCC